GAAAGGAGGGGGCTGCTGTTATGAAGGTTGCAGAAGCTGAAAGACTATGGCTTACCATGGCCGCCTGCAAGCCGAATTCTGTTGCCCAGCCCTGCATGTGTGATCTCTAACACCAAAGCCACAGACACTCAATATAAGATGCAAAATGCGACCTTGTACCAAAATCACATGTGCTATGTAATGTGAATACTGTTGTTCACTGTGAAAGAGTATAGCCATTGTTCTGTAAAATGTATCTTTTTAAATACTTCACTCCCTTTTTTGACTCCAGCAGCTGCAAATGTTTCAAGCCTCCCTCCTCCATCCCAGAGGCTATCTCAGATAAGGCGGCGAAAAAAACGCACGTGTGATGACATGTTCTCTGAGCTCATGCAGTCGCCCGGCACTGACAGAGCTGTGTGGAGAGGCACAATAGCAGAGTACAGGATGGTGGCCGATGAACATGAGGAGAGGTGGCGGCAGGAAGATCAGAGGAGGCATGAGGAAACGCTGGGGATACTGCGGGATCAAACGGACATGCTCCAGCGTCTGGTGGAGGTTCATGAATGGCAGCAAGATCACAGACTGCAGCTGCAGCCCCTGCTTAGCCGCCCTCCCTCCTCCCCAAGTTCCATAGCCTCCTCACCCAGACGCCCAAGAACGTGGGGTGGGAGGCTCTGGGCACCCAACCACTCCACCCCAGTGGACAGCCCAAGCAACAGAAGGCTGGCATTCAACAAGTTTTAAAGTGGCCTTTTCCTTCCCTCCTACCCTCCTCCCATACCCCACCTGGGCTATCTTGTGAGTTATTTTTATAATCAATTAATAAAGAATACATGTTTTTTAAACGATAGTGACTTTATTTCCTTTGCAAGCAAGCTGTGATCAAAGGCGGGAGGGTGGGTGGCTTACAGGGAATTTAGAGGCAACCAAGGGGGTGGGTTTTCATCAAGGAGAAACAAACAGCAGTGTCACACAGTACCCTGGACAGTCATGAAACTGGTTTTCAAAGCTTCTCTGATGCACACCGCTTCCTGCTGTGCTCTTCTAACCGTCCTGGTGTCTGGTTGCACATATTCAGCAACAGGCGATTTGCATCAACCTCCCACCCCGCCATAAATGTCTCCCCCTTACTCTCACAGAGATTGTGGAGCACACAACAAGCAGCAATAACAATGGGAATATTGCTTTCGCTGAGGTCTGAGCGAGTCAGTAAACTGCGCCAGCGACCCTTTAAACATTCAAATGCACACTCTACCACCATTCTGCACTTGCTCAGCCTATAGCTGAACAGCTCCTGACTACTGTCCAGGGTGCCTGTGTACGGCTTCATGAGCCAGGACATTAAGGGGTAGGCTGGGTCCCCAAGGATAACTATTGGCATTTCAACATCCCCAACAGTTATTTTCTGGTCTGGGAAGTAAATCCCTTCCTGCAGCCGTTTAAACAGACCAGAGTTCCTGAAGACACGAGCGTCATGAACCTTTCCCAGCCATCCCACGTTGATGTTGGTGAAATGTCCCTTGTGATCCACCAGTGCTTGCAGCACCATTGAAAAGTACCCCTTGAGGTTTATGTACTGGCTGCCCTGGTGGTCTGGTCCCAAAATAGGGATATGCGTTCCGTCTATAGCCCCACCACAGTTAGAGAATCCCATTGTAGCAAAGGCATCTAGTATGACCTGCACATTTCCCAGAGTCACAACCTTTGATAGCAGCAGCTCAGTGATTGCGTTGGCTACTTGCATCACAGCAACCCCCACAGTAGATTTGCCCACTCCAAATTGATTCCCGACTGACCGGTAGCTGTCTGGCGTTGCAAGCTTCCACAGGGCTATTGCCACTCACTTTTGAACTGTGAGGGCTGCTCTCATCTTGGTATTCTTGCGCATCAGGGCAGGGGAAAGCAAGTCACAAAGTTCCATGAAAGTGCCCTTACGCATGCAAAAGTTTCGGAGCCACTGAGAATCATCCCAGACCTGCAACACTGTGCGGTCCCACCACTCTGTGCTTGTTTCTTGGGCCCAGAATTGGTGTTCCATGGCATGAGCCTGCCCCATTAACACCATGATCTCCAAATTGCGGGGAAACGCGGTTTTAGAGAAAAGTGTGTTCATGTCCTCATCACCGCACTGCCATTGCCTCCTCACCTGGTTTTTCAGGTGCTGGTTCTGCATACACTGCACGATAATGCATGAGATGTTTACAGTGGTCATAACTGCTGCGGTGAGCTGAACGGGCTCCATGCTTGCTGTGCGATGGTGTCTGCTCCTGCTCGGACAATCCAGGGAGAAGGGCGTGAAACGATTGTTTGCCGTTGTTCTGGCGGAGGGAGGGGCGACTGACAACATGGCTTACAGGGTTGGCTTACAGGGAAGTAAAATCCACAAAGGGGGTGGCTTTGCGAGAAACAGAATGGCCCCCTCAAGGATAGAACTCAAAACCTCAAGGATAGAACTCAAAACTGGGTTTAGCAGGCCATTGATTTCTCGGAGGGGGAGAGGAGAAAATGAATACAAAACAAATCTGGTCTATTTCTTGTTTTGATCCACTTCATCTATCTTTATACATCTTGCTGGCAGCAGACTGTGCAGTACGACCGCTAGCCATCGTCATCTCCTGGGTGCTCGGCAGAAGACGGTGCAGCATGACTGCTGGCCATCGTCTTCTGCTGGCTGCAGATTAAAATTCACTGCCGGTAGGACTGAATCGCCATGAGACGAAACTTAAAAGGGAAATGACCTGGCTGAGTCACTCCCATGTTTGCCCAGGCGCCCCTGACCTCATCGAGGTCGGTTAAAAGAGCACCCAGGACTACGTCGACGACGGCTACCAGTCACACTGCACTGTCTGCTGCCAAAAGGCAATGAGCTGCTGCTGTGTAGCAATGCACTGCCAGCACCCAGGAGACATACGGTGACGGCGAGCTGAGCGGGCTCCATGCTTGCCGTGGTATGGCGTCTGCACAGGTAACTCAAGAAAAAAGGCGCAAAACGATTGTCTGCCCTTGCTTTCATGGAGGGAGGGAGGGAACGGGGGCCTGACGATATGTACCCAGAACCACCCGCAACAACGTTTTAGCCCCATCAGGCACTGGGATTTCTACCCAGAATTCAAATGGACGGCGGAGACTGCGGGAACTGTGGGATAGCTACCCACAGTGCAACACTCCGGAAGTCGACATTTGCCTCGGTACTGTGGACACACTCCGCCGACTACATGCACTTAGAGCATTTGTGTGGGGACACACACAATCGACTGGATAAAAACTCTTTCTACAAACCCGACTTCTATAAATTCAACTTAATTTTGTAGTGTAGACAAGGCCTTATAATATTACATTAACAAAAAAGAATTTACCAACAGCTGCACTTCTAAGAGACCAAGGGACTGATTAAACCTGTCATGTAGATTACATATAGCCCTTTCAATGAGAGGTGTGTACCCTAGCATGCAACATGTTTCTGACCAACAAGCAAACTTCAAAGATGATCGGGGGGGTGAGGGGGGTGGCTAAAGTGTGGGGAGGGGAGGGTTGGATAAGCTGTAACTCAAGTGTTTTTAATAAATCTCATGTATTTCACACAAGGATACTTTAGAGCACTTTGACAACTTTAGCACATTGACACCTATTTTCAGTTATGCAATAGTCCCTATCTATAAACAGGTTAAGTAAATAATACAAGTGAATTGCATTTATAGTTTAAACAGAAAGAACAGCACTTCAAATGCAAATAGGAGACAGCCTGTCTACAAGGACATTTAGCCAATTGCTTGATGCATGTGGTTTCAAAGATGGTTGACTTTTATCCAAAAGACACAGATGGGAGGATTTAGACATAAACAGCTTTTAATTTACTACTGATGTTTTGCCTTGACTATACCTATTACTATCAGAGCAATAAGTGAGCAAAAAGATACCTAGAAAATGCTTTCCCAGCTGAAGTCTGCAGTGGTGATGTGAAGAAATATTACCTGAAATGAACAATCGTTCTGTGCAGAAACTCTCCACTTTAGAATGTAAACAAGCCTGGACACTAAATGGATTCAAACAGCATCCATGTACATTTCTCATCTAATTTAAAACGCAGTTCAAAGGTTTGATTTTTTTTTCTTTTAACATCGAGGGACATAGCTGTAGTGGAAATACACTGTTTATGAGGTGTTTCTCCCCTTTGCTTCCTCCCCTCCCCCAATTTATTCCCTGGAAATACAAGTCCAAATGCCTTGCAAAATATGCTAATAAATAAAATAAAGATTCACAGTGGATAAGTAATAAGGCAGATGGGTAATTCATAATCAAGATTTCCAGATACTTTGTGGCTCTGATCCAGAGTCAAACATGTTTAAGTAAGTGAAAAGACTTCCATCAACTTCAATTGGTTTTGGATCTGGCTCCAAAGCCATCTGCCTGAAAAAAGCCCAATATTGGTTTAACCGATAAGCTAAAACAGACAAGATATGTAAGAATGAACGTACAGTATGTGCACTCAATTCATGTGACCCACAATGGACATACGTTTCTGCGTATCTCTCTGTGTCTCAAGGATATGAAATAATTGCCATTTTCATTTGCCAAAAGGCTCTATCTAAATATTGCGATTGTTAAAACAACAAAACCAAACAAAAGGGCAGCTGGGACCAAATCAGATGGGACAAAATGAAAAGAATACCACAAGGAAGTAAACATGCAAAGTGCACATTTTCTAAGGGACTCTAAATAATGCACTAAGTGAATATTTTGGAGCTTGGTTACATGCAGGTGCTAGGACGCTTTATACTTAGAATGCCTGGAATACTTTCGCTGCTAAGGGAAATTAATAAGTACTAGTTTGCTTAAGCATTTTGTGCCAATACTAACCATTAGCTTTTGGCTCATGGCCACAACTGTCTACTCTGCACTGGATTCTGCCACCAAGGGAAAGGTCATTAAGGCCCATACTTTATTCTTCTTAGTATGTTCCAACATAATTAACAGAAGTTGTTCACCAGCTGGTTTCCTTTCTGTCAGCAAGTACCTACAGTTTAATGGGCTATGCGGGATTCTTTACTTTAAGTGGGTGAGGCTGGAAGGAAAATTAAAATGTATAATCTTTGATCCACCCACTTCTAATTAGTTCTTAGGATTTTACATAATAGAAACTATAAAGGAAGTGGAGAAGGGGGAAATGAAATCATTACAAACCAAGTGATCCCAGGCAGCCAAATTCATTTTTGATTCTGCTTTCAAAAGACAAACTGTGGTTATAAAGACAAAGTTATAACTTGTTGGAGTGGGGATTTTTGCTGAAGATTTACCAGTTGTACATACCTCTGTTGTCTCAAGCTACATAACAATTTGCAGTCGATAAGATCATGCATCTTTGGATATGTCCATGCTACCTGCCGAATCGGCGGGCAGCGATCGATCCAGCAGGGGTCAATTTATCGCGTCTAGTCTAGATGTGATAAATCAACTGGCGGCACCGGCAGAGTCAACGGGGGAGCAGCAGCACTCGACTCACCATAGTGAAGACATCGCGGTGAGTAGATCTAAGTACGTTGACTTCAGCTACGTTATTCATGTAGCTGAAGTTGCATAACTTAGATCGATCCCCCCCAGAGTGTAGACCAGGCCTCAGATTCTTTGGTTGCTTTGTGATGTATCTTTATTCCAGTAATGCCTAGAGGTCCCAGCTAAGATCAGGGCCCCATTGTGCTAGGTGCTGTACAAACACAGAGCATGAAACAGTCCCTGCCCCAAAGAGTTTACAACATGAATAGACCAAGAGTAAGAGAAAGGAAGAATTATTATCTTCATTTTACAGTTGGGGGACTGAGGCACAGAGAGAGTAAAGGGTACCATTTTCTAAAGGACCTAACTCCTATTGAAAGTATGTGGGATTTAAATGCTTTTGGAAATTGTGCCCTAAGTGACTTCTCCAAGGGGGCAGAGGGAGCTTGTGGGAGAGCTGAGAAACGACCCAAGATTAGCAGGGTCCTAGGCCAGTGACTGCATCTCAAGACCTTTCTTCCTCCTCCAGCCAGCATTCTTCTTCTTCTAAGTCAAGGGTGAATGCTGGCCCAGAAAAGAGCAAGGTGAAATTCTATTTAATGTAGAAATTAGCATGACACGACAGAGTGCTGGGTTAACTTTCAGTGGGATTGAGAGCCTCATTCCCTTAGGCACCTTTGAAAATCCAAGTCCTACACTAAAAAAAATTAAAGCAATTTGTACCGACTTTACTGTACAATTAGAAATGTATTCCCTAGGCCAGTGGTCACCAACCGGGCAATCGTGGAGGATCTCCCAATCGATCGTGATCTCTGGCTGCGCAGTGGGGCTGCTGCTAAAACAGGCTCCCTGCCTGCCCCAGCCCCACACCACTCCCGGAAGTGGCCAGCATGGCCCCGTGGCCCCAGGGGCAGGGGTCTCCCTCCGCACACTGCTTCTGCCTGTAAGCATCACCCCCGCAGCTCCCATTGGCCGGGAATGGGGAGCTGTGACCAATGGGAGCTGCAGGGCGGGGCGGTGCTTGCAGAGAGGGGCAGCGTGCAGAGCCACATGCCGCCCCCCCCCCCAGGCTGCAGGGGTGCACTGGCCCCTCCCAGGAGCGCCGTGGGGCCGAGGTAGGCAGGGAGCCTGTCTTAGTGGCAGCCATGCTGAGCCGCCAACCGGGAGCTGCTGGAGGTAAATGCTGCCCAGCAGGACGCCGCACCCCAACCCCCAGCCCTGAGCCCCCACCCAGAGCCAGCACCCCAAACCAGCTCTGTGCCCCCTCCTGAAGCCAGTACCCCATACCCCTACTTGCACCCCTTGCCCCAGCCCTGACCCCCCTCCCAGAGTCAGCACCCTGTACCCCCTCTTGCACCCCAACACTCTGCCCCAGCCCGGAGCCCCCTCCTGCACCCAAACTCCCTCCCAGAGCTTGCACCCCTCACCACCTCCTGCACCCCAACCCCTGCCCCACGCTCAGCCCAGAGCCCCCTCCCATACTGTGAACCCCTCGGCCCCAGCCCAGAGCCTGCACCCCCTCCCGAACCCCAACCCCCTACCCCAGCCCGGTGAAAGTGAGAGAGAGTGGGGGGAGTGAGTGACGGGGGGGGGGGTGGAGTGAGTGGAGCAGGGCTTTGGGGAAGGGGCGGGGCTCCCAGGAAGGGGCGGGGTAGATCCTGGGTTGCCCTTAAATTCAAAAAGTGATCTTGAGCATAAAAAGATTGGAGACCATTTGCCCTAGGCTATTTGGTAGGATGAAGGAATTGATAAACGGGATGCAAAACATTTACCTTGGTTATAAATTAGCCCAGGCTGCTAGTGACCAGGTGGCCTCATGCCACGTGTATTCAATGGTATAGGTGAATTCAGTGGCTTGCGGAACCCTGATTGGACTACATCTTCCCATGATACACCAGTCTTCCCTCTTGGTGAGAAGAGGTGGTACATCCTGGGAATCCCATGGCCATGGTGCATCACGGGAGCTGTAGTAAGGGTGGGGAGCCTGGCCCATGGAGAAGAAGGAGGCTATAAAGACATTAGAGAATGAACAGAACCGGTCAATTATTGAGTGATCCGTCCCCTGGTGTCCAGTCCCAGCTTCTAGCAGACAAAGGTTTAAGGACACCCAGAGCATGGGCTTGTGTCCCTGACTGTCTTGGCTAATAACCACTGATGGATCTATCCTCCATGAACTTATCTACTCCTTTTTTTAACCCAGTTATACTTTTGGCCTTCACAAGAGCCCCTGGCAATGAGGTCATGAGGCAACTAAACTTCAGCTCCCGAGAGGCACTGCAGTGGTCTTTCCGCAATGAAATATTTTGGGGTTGCTCCAAAGTGGTTAGGTTTTCAGCCAACAAAACTAAAAAATGTTAGGTGGGGTTGTTTTTGTTTTGTTTTCAGAGGTTTTTTGTTTGTTTGTTTTGTTTGGGGGGGAATCTAAATTTTCTGTGGCAAGCAAACACTTTTGATGAAAAAATTCATTGAGTCACAGAGCCAAGTTTCCATCAAAAAACAGAATTTTGGACTGGCCCTAGTTCTAAAGTTGAATGGGCACCGAACTACCTTCATTCTTAATTCTACAGCTGCCCACACCAGGCCAGAGCCCATACACTGGTGTGGTATTATACCACTTCTCTCCTGGTATTTGACTGGCTCAGTGGCCAAATCCAGGATTTTGATTTCCAGTAAAGCCCAACTAATATGCCTTTCATGGGCACTAAGTAATGAATTTAAAATGCTTATTTAAAAGAAAACGACAGCAGAAATCAGGATGATTTTGGTATGCATTTGTAGAAACTTGTCCCCTTCCTAGACACAGATCCTACTAAGGGTCCTGCATGGGTAGCTCCTTATGTTTGTGCAGAATCACGTTGAATGCAATGGGTCTCTATATGGCCATAAGGACTTACAAGCTTCATTTATCCAAGAGCATAGCCTAATGAGCTAATATGTGCTTTGTTTTCATGATCCTTTATAGATACAAATCTCTTCTTTCCTTCACAGAGGAAAACTTTCCTTAAGGAGTTGTGGGACTGGCAAAAACATTTTATTTGGCAATTCAAGACTCTAGTTAATTCTCCGATTAATATATCTAGAAGAGGGGATAATGAGAAGACAAATATTATGTTGGGGGTTAGGTAAAACCGCATGAAAGCTGGTAGGTGTCATACCCCTCCTCCCGACCCTTCATTCAGGATAAATGACAAAAACAAGCAAGCTCCTTTATGGAACCAAATAGGATCACCCACCCAAAACACAGGCACACGGCAAGACTTGAGTAGAAGCTGTGGCTCAGGGGTTCCCTTGGAGACTGACATAGCAACCACAGGGGCTGGGGCATTGTTCGGCAGAGTTGTATGTGTGGGAGAGAAGCAACCGAAAGAGACAGAAGGAGACAGAGAAGGAGCACAGAAGCCCCAGACACAGCTACCCTGGTAGCACGGCCCTGCGAAAAAGTCTAGAGACAGCTGCTTGGTTAAAGTGCTGGCTGAAAGAGACTTGGAATCGTGAGCAAAGAACCCATCTCCTATTGGATTGCTACTGTGTTCAGGGAAGCAGGACTTTGTACATTCTTTGTAAATACTCAGTATTGCATCAAAGAAATATCTGACTCCATCATTGGTTTCTCCACCTAACCGACCCAACCAGCAATGCCACCCAAATTAGCTAACCGCTCAGGTCAAAAAGGGTAACAACCCCACAGACTGTTGTGATGATGTCCCTGGATGGACTATCCATGGCGACTGGACCCAGAATATCCGGATCTAAAAGCATAAGCCTCTGTTCCTTGCAGTAAAGGACTGGGCCCATTAGCAGACTCATAAATCTCTTTATGTGGTCAAGCCACTAGAAGGAGACAACGTGTTTATATTGTTTACATATACACATTTATATTCATCTTTTGAGTGTCCCCATTTGGGGATATAAAATGCAAGCGACTGGAAGAAGTACAGAGAGGGAAAAAAATGGAGGGGGGGAAGGGGGAAGATATTTAATGGATTGGCCCAGATCAGATGCCTGCCTCCCACTGAAATCCAATTGCGTGAAATTCCATAGTGGCAGCAAATCCCCTGACCTCCATATTTCAAGTCAGTGCAATGGCTCCTGATCTGGGGCTACTCGAGGCAGAGAGGATCGACATACGTCTTGAAGCCCCCACTGAGAATGAAGGGAAAAATGCAAGTCCAAACGGACCCTGAAGGTTAGAGTATTGAGGGTCTGTGTGGAGAAGGCATGTCTGGAGTGACACAAACCACAGGCAGTTTGAAACTGGGAGGAGGTGCATGCTGAGTTATTGAAAGGAGGGAGCGGAGGATATTAAGTTACCCTTGATTCCAACTGCAATGTCCTCTCTTCAGTGTCCTCTCTTCAGTGTTTGCCTCCTTTGGGATCATAGATGAACACTGGGATTTTCAAAGAAACCTAAGGGTCTTAGCCACCTCAATCCCACTGAAGCCAACTGGAGTTGGCCACTCCACTCCTTCGGGCGCCCACCCTGCAGTCCTGTAGCTATCTATAAGAGAAGCACAGCCTGGACAATGGCAGTGCGGGTTGGCCTTCCAGGGTGCCTCAGCCCTTCTCTGGAGAGACCACACTTCCATGGGTGAGGAGGAAGCTCAGTCCCTATACCTGTTCCGTCAGCAGCCCCTTTGCTGAGGCAGCCAACCAAGTGCCAACTGTGCCTTCCTGGCTGGGAGGGGAATTTTCCTGTGTGTCTGTGTGATTGCTGCCATCTTAGCCAACACAGTAGGGGCTAACCCAGGCACCTCCAGCACTGAACCATGGGCTGCTACAGCTTGTAGCAGACTCAGACCAGATCGGGCACAGAGAGAAACCTGTAACTCACACACTCATCCGTGGGTTACATTGGTCTAGGACCAGCACAATGGAGTCCTGATCCCTGACTGGAGCCTTTGGGCAATACCTCAATGCCAATAGGAAGTGATAAGATGATCTGTAATAATCCTTTCCACTGGACTGTGTTTACCATTAAGAGCCATCAGATGGTGGTAAATTTCGGTTCTTACTCAACAGAGCTGGATT